AAAGAGAACATTTCACAGTAACCAGTAGAGTGGGTGTCGAAGGTTCTCAACGGAAAGAAATAACATCTGTCTGAAGCACGAGATAGGACAGTTACCCTGACTTGATCATTACACTGTATTGTGTAATGGACATAAATATGCATGTCCTAATACATATGTGTTATTACTATGCATTAATTAAAATACACTTTAAAAAGAAGACAAACTTAGGTATTGAGTTGTGTGCTGGGTTAGAAACATGCCTTTCTTTTTTTTTTGTGTCAATGCTAAACTTTATTTTATTTCGAGACAGGGTTTCTCTGTGCAGCCCTGGCTGTCTTAGAATTCCCTCTGTAGACCAGGCTGGCCTTGAACTCACAAAGACCCACCTGCCTTTTGCCTCCCAAGTGTCAGGATTAAAGGTGTGCACCACCACTTCCTGTCTTTTTTTAAATTACATTTTAAAAATTTATTTTATATACCAACCACAGGTTCTCCTCCCTCCTTTCCTGTTTTCTCCTCCACCTCCTTCTTACCCCCCATCTACTCCTCAGAAAGACTTCTATGGGAGCCAACAAAGCCTGGCTTATCAAGTTGAGGCAGAGGCCAAGCTCCTTCCCCTGCATCAAGGCTGGCTGAGGAATCCCACCATTCGGAATAGGTTCCAAAAAATCAGCTCACATGCCAGGGGCAGATCCTGGTCCCACTGCCAGGGTCCCCACAAACAGACCAAGCCACACAACTGTCACCCACATGCAGTGGGCCTAGCTCAGTCCCATGCAGGCTCCCTAGGTGTCTAGAGACCAGGAGTTCCCACTAGCTCGGGTCAGCTGTCTGCTGGGTTTGCCTGTCATGATGATCTTGGCGCCCCTTGCTCCTATAGTCCCTCCTCCCTCTCTTCAGTTGGACTCCCAGAGCTCCGCCCACTACTTAGCTGTGGATGTCTGCATCTCCTTCCATTAGTTATTGGGTGAAGGTTCTGTGGTGACAGTAGGGTAGTCACCAATCTGATTACAGGGGAAGGCCAGTTCAGGCGCCCTCTCCACTATTGCTAGGGGGTCATCCCATAGTTTCCTGGTCGTTTCCCGGGCACCAGGAAAAACATGCCTTTCTAGAATTCCCCCATCTTCTCTAAATTGTGTCACTTCAAGACCAGCCTCATCTGTGTGAGAGGCTGTGTTATTTTAGTGTTATTCCAGCAGGGGACGCCAAATCACCAGGAATGTCTCCGAGGCACTCATGACTAAATTGGGAGAAGAATCTCTGAAATTTCAGTTCCTTTGATGCTTCTTGAATATGGGTGCGATGCATGTGTGCATGCGTGTGTGTGTGCATGTGTGTGTGTATTTATGCATGATGTATAATGTATGTGAGTGCTTGTATCATGTATACATGCATGTGTATTGTGTGTGTGTTGTATGTATGTGTCTGGGTGTATTATGTGTACGTGTGTGGCATATGTGCAATGTGTATGCGTGTGTGAGCGCATGCACACGTGCCTGCGTCTGTAGATTCACGGCAGCCGTGTCTAATTCCAGGAGTGCCAGGCAGTAGCTGTGTGTTTCTCTCAGGTGGAAACGGGATGCCATCTGGTCACGATGCCCTCTTAAAGCTGAGTGTGGAGGACAGCTTACTTCCTATCGATTGCCTGGGCACAGAGACTTGAGCTGGAAAGCTGGTTTAAGGATCGTGAATGATGATGGGGTGAGAGAAACAGAGCCCAAGGTGCAGACGCAGGAGGGCTCAGCCCGACAGGCCTGAGGGTATAGACGTCCACACGCATGTGTGAGAGGAGTGGCCATTCCTGTAAGGTCAACAGCTGAACTCCTTTGTGGCCTGGCTGTGGGACCGAGAGGCATGCGCGGGGTACCCCCTGTCCAGGATAGCTGCAGGAGCTCAGTGTCCCAGGCTGATGTCTCATTGTTTCCAGAGCTGTTGTCCTCAGAATGATGGCCTCAGCTGATGGCCAGCATCCCCACCACTTACAGGGCATCCACCCCGCAAACACTCTGACTTTGGGCACCAGCCAGGAAACTTGTCCTGCCCTAGAGTGAGGCAGGTCGTGTTAGCATTGCCCTCAACACGTCCCTGGCGGATCTGGACCATCAGCTGAGCCCTCTGCCCTAGGGCTGCCATGGACAGTTTGGGTTTTCTTGAAGAAGCCCAGTCTTACCAAGCATTGAGCAAGAAAACGAGGGCTCCAAACTGTTTAGTCTTAGCCCAGGCCTCTCCGGCCCTAGCTGCGGCTGAATTTGAGGGGCCACAGCCCTCAGAGATGCCTGGTTTAGGCCAGGAGTCAGGATATTGTGGGAGAACAGTGGGAGTCTGTGACAACAATGAATCCCCCTGCATGTCCCCAGCCTACTTTTCCACAGTGGCTGCTGTCTTCTCAGAGGGAATTCTGCCTCTCATCTCCGTGTCTTATGGTCCCAGGATCTCTGTGGGTGGACCACCAAAAGCAGCCTGGCTCTGACTGCCCCTGGCTCACGCCTGTCCTGGGTACCCCGCCTGACTCTGCTGGGGACCCAGAGGCCAGCATCTGGGCGTTAGGAGACTGTGTAGCAGGGTCTGGAGAAGTGGGGAGAGAGGAGGCCCCGGGTGGAGGAGACAGGTCTGTGCAGATGGGATACATGTGCGGTCTAGCCAGGGCATGGGACCGGGCGGGAAGGGCAGGGTGGCCCCTGTGCCAGGCTGAATGGTGGCTGTGGCGCTGACTCTCATGGCAACTGTCCCTCACAAACCTGTGCCAAATCAGCCTGTAGGTAGTGCAGTCCTACTGTGGGGAGCCTTTGGGCTGCGAAGGAAGGCAAAGGCGCTGTCTTGTAGAAGTGGCATAGTGACAGAGGCTCCTGAGGAGATGCGGGGCGGGGGGGTGCGGGGGGGGGTGCGGGAGGCGCGGGGGGGGCGGGGTTGGGCAGCCCTGTGGAGCTGGGGTATTGTGACTCACCTCTGTGGGCTGGACCGGGGTTCCCGCAGCAGACCCAGCAGGCACTTCCTGCACAGGCCAAGGAAGCAACAGCAGCTGCCCTGAGCTGGTGCCCGCAGGTAGCTGGCGCATGCTCAGGAGGCACTTCTGCACGCCCACTGGGCCATGTGCTGGCCATTGCCGAGCCATAGGCAAGCGTATGGAGCCCGTCTCCCCGTTTCAAGTCTCTGGGTTGTGGGACAATCAGTCTAAACTTCCTGACGGGTGCAGGGATGTGGGGTGGCATGTGACTCTGGGTTATCCTTTTGGTCCTGATTAGTGCCCACCCCTTGGCATAGGGGAGGGTCTCACTGACCTTTGGTTGGGGGTCCTAGGTGTTGACCCCTCTAGAACTGTCCTTCGTTCCCTCAGGCAGAAGCAGGATGCCTGATCAATTTAAAACAATTTTAATTTTAATTAAAGTTTTGTGGTTTTTTTTTGTTTTTGTACTAAGCCCAAGTGCCCTAGTCTTCCTCTGGTTTTTTCAAAATATTAAATTTTTTCCTTTGAGATAAGTCTTGGCTGTCCTAGAACTCACTTTGTAGATCAGGCTGAACTCACAGACAACCACCTGCCTCTGTCTCTGAGTGCTGGGATTAAAGGAATGCGCCACCACCACCTGGCTATGTTAATATTTTTAAATCTTAAAGATTTACTAGTGTATGTGTGTGGATGTGCACAATGTGTATGCATCTCCCTCAGAGGCCAGAGAGAGGGAACGGGATCCCACGGAGCTGGTTACAGATGACCACCACCTGCTGCTGGGTACCGAACCCAGGTTCTCCAAAAGTGCTCGTAAGCCACTGAACCATCTCTCCAGTCCTAAACAGTTAAAGTTTAATTTCATGTGTTGTCTCCTTGAATCAGTCTGGCTTGGACCAGAATCTTCTCAGTGAAAATTCACTGAAATTTGTAAATGAGCCCTTGCAGGTCAGGAAAGGTCAGCTGGGCTCAGTGATGGGGGCATAGCTTCTGCCCAGAGAGGGGAGTGCTTGTCTAGGTGGGGAAGCATCTTCCCAGGCCCACGCCTTAGCTTGCGGACCAGCATGGGCTCTCTAAGGGAATGGTTTGGAGGCTGAAGGGTTCTGTTCACCTGTGTCCCAGCCATGGCAATCAAGAAGTTGTTCTGGGGCCAAGAGTGACAGATGCGTTCTGTTTTGGTTAAGTGGCCTGTGGTGAGAGGAACTGAGGCTCTCTCTCTTCTTTCCTTCGGACACTTTTTCAGAAGCCAGGCCCTTGAGGGCCCAGCTCTTCACCAAGTCTCGAACTGCTGTCTCGCCTCAGTGTGGCTGAGAACAAATGTCCCTCTGAGACCTTGCTTCTGTCTTATATACTTCCCTAATGTTGGGATTAAAGGTGTGAGCTATAATTCTCTTTTAGACTGATTTGCTCTCGTGTAGGTCTAGAACTCACAGAGATCTGTCTGTCTTTTAATCCTGAGTCCTAGGATTAAACCTTCTGGCTGCTGGGATTAAAGGTCTGTATCACCACTGCCTGATCTCTGTAGCTTGAGGCTGCCTTTGCTTTTCTGAATTTATGATTTAATAAATCATAAATAAAATATAACTACACAGGGCTCTCAAACTTGTCTCTGCTTACATTTATGGGCTTCTCTTACAGGGGTCCCAGATGAACACTGGCCTCCTCCCCGCAAGGCTGAACCCCAGGTTTCTCTAAATCCAGCCTCTTGTCTTCTGCCTGTTCCCTGCTGCCCCCATCAACCAGTACTGCATCCCATCATTTCTCCAGCTTGCTCCCCAGTTTGACTCTAAGGTCTGAATCCACTTCATCCCCAGCCTAAACTGCAGCCTTCCGGTCACCCCGGACTCGGTTTCCCAGCCCGACTCCACACTTTCTTCCTCCGTTCCAGTCCAGACCCCACGCGCCTCACACGCATCTGTCCACACCACCTGCCCCTCCACAGTAAGGCTAAGAGGATTCTAGACTGCTATTTCGAGAGAGTCTTGGGCGGGTGGAGGCGTGGCCTAGGATAGGGCTCCCAGGCCCCGCCCACCCGCCCCGCCCCGCCCCGCGCCGCGCCGCGCCTCCTACCTCCGTGTGCTGCTGCGAGCCCGGAATAGCCAGCCTAGTTGGCCATGGAGACCCCCGTGCGGCTGCTGCACCTTCTCCCCCTGTTACTGCTGCTTTGTGGTAAGAAGGAATCTGGCTTGGGGGTACTCCATCCCCTCGGGGCCTTGGGACCCATGAGGACTCTCATCTTCCCGCGTCGAGCCTAGGCTGCGCTTGATTTTTTTAACCAGAGTTTGGAAAGGACGCTCATTGACTCCAGCGCATCCCGCAGGTTTTGCGGAGAGACCTCATGCCCCCTCCACCATTAGAGGAGCCCAGGGGAAAGGACTTGGGCTGTAAGGGACGCACACGGTCCTCCGAGGGGCTGTGATGTCCTGGTGCCTAGGGAAGGATCTCAGGTGAGGTAGTGAGCCTCCCATCCTGCCCTGCGCACATGACACACAGGTGCGGGTGGCTAGAATTCCTAATTCTTTTCCAGGGAGAAAACAGGACTCAGGGAGAAACATTGCTCTCACGAAATAGAAATGGGATAAATCTCAAGCTTGTTTTGAAAGGGGTGGGAAGGGAATAATGTTGGTGGGGAGACATGTTGAGGGAGCCTGTGAGGAGCTTAATGGAGGAAGTAGGATGGATATAATAATATATATATATATATATATGTGTGTGTGTATATTCAAAGAATAAAAATATTAAAAATACTAAAAAAAGAAAAAAAGTGAAGTATTTTACTGGAGAAATTACCCAAGGATAAATAAGGGTACATTTTGCCAGGTGGTGGCGGCGCACACCTTTAATCCCAGAATTTGAGAGGCAGAGGCAGGTAGATCTCACTGAGTTCAAGGCCAGCTTGGTCTACAGAGCGAGTTCCAGGACAGCCAGTGCTAACAGGGAAACAAAACAAAACAACAACAAAAAGCCCCCCCCAAAAGAGGGTACATGTATGTGTGCATGCTTGTGTGCATGGGTATGCATGTGTCTGTGCCCCTGCGTGTGCATGCTTGTGTGCATGGGTATGCATGTGTCTGTGCCCCTGTGTGTGCATGCTTTTGTGCATGGGTATGCATGTGTCTGTGCCCCTGTGTGTGCATGCTTTTGTGCATGGGTATGCATGTGTCTGTGCCCCTGTGTGTGCATGCTTGTGTGCATGGGTATGCATGTGTCTGTGCCCCTGTGTGTGCATGTGTATGTGTGTGTCTGTGCCCCTGCGTGTGCATGCTTGTGTGCATGGGTATGCATGTGTCTGTGCCCCTGCGTGTCCATGTGTATGCGTGTGTCTGTGCTTCTGCGTGTGCATGCTTGTGTGCATGGGTATGCATGTGTCTGTGCCCCTGAGTGTGCACGCACATGCATGTGTCTGTGCTTCTGCGTGTGCATGCTTGTGTGCATGGGTATGCATGTGTCTGTGCCCCTGAGTGTGCATGCTTGTGTGCGTGGGTATGCATGTGTCTGTGCCCCTGCGTGTCCATGTGTATGCGTGTGTCTGTGCTTCTGCGTGTGCATGCTTGTGTGCATGGGTATGCGTGTGTCTGTGCTTCTGCGTGTGCATGCTTGTGTGCATGGGTATGCATGTGTCTGTGCCCCTGTGTGTGCATGCTTGTGTGCATGGGTATGCATGTGTCTGTGCCCCTGTGTGTGCATGCTTGTGTGCATGGGTATGCATGTGTCTGTGCCCCTGTGTGTGCATGTGTATGTGTGTGTCTGTGCCCCTGCGTGTGCATGCTTGTGTGCATGGGTATGCATGTGTCTGTGCCCCTGCGTGTCCATGTGTATGCGTGTGTCTGTGCTTCTGCGTGTGCATGCTTGTGTGCATGGGTATGCATGTGTCTGTGCCCCTGAGTGTGCATGTGTATGTGTGTGTCTGTGCCCCTGCGTGTGCATGCTTGTGTGCATGGGTATGCATGTGTCTGTGCCCCTGCGTGTCCATGTGTATGCGTGTGTCTGTGCTTCTGCGTGTGCATGCTTGTGTGCATGGGTATGCATGTGTCTGTGCCCCTGAGTGTGCACGCACATGCATGTGTCTGTGCTTCTGCGTGTGCATGCTTGTGTGCATGGGTATGCATGTGTCTGTGCCCCTGTGTGTGCATGCTTGTGTGCATGGGTATGCATGTGTCTGTGCCCCTGAGTGTGCACGCACATGCATGTGTCTGTGCTTCTGCGTGTGCATGCTTGTGTGCATGGGTATGCATGTGTCTGTGCCCCTGTGTGTGCATGCTTGTGTGCATGGGTATGCATGTGTCTGTGCCCCTGAGTGTGCATGCGTATGTGTGTGTCTGTGCCCCTGTGTGTGCATGCTTGTGTGCATGGGTATGCATGTGTCTGTGCCCCTGTGTGTGCATGCTTGTGTGCATGGGTATGCATGTGTCTGTGCTTCTGCGTGTGCATGCTTGTGTGCATGGGTATGCATGTGTCTGTGCCCCTGTGTGTGCATGCTTGTGTGCATGGGTATGCATGTGTCTGTGCCCCTGTGTGTGCATGTGTATGTGTGTGTCTGTGCCCCTGCGTGTGCATGCTTGTGTGCATGGGTATGCATGTGTCTGTGCCCCTGCGTGTCCATGTGTATGCGTGTGTCTGTGCTTCTGCGTGTGCATGCTTGTGTGCATGGGTATGCATGTGTCTGTGCTTCTGCGTGTGCATGCTTGTGTCCATGTGTATGCGTGTGTCTGTGCTTCTGCGTGTGCATGCTTGTGTGCATGGGTATGCATGTGTCTGTGCCCCTGTGTGTGCATGCTTGTGTGCATGGGTATGCATGTGTCTGTGCCCCTGAGTGTGCATGCGTATGTGTGTCTGTGCCCCTGTGTGTGCATGCTTGTGTCTGTGCACCTTTGGGCATGTGTGTGCATGTGTGCTTTGTGCCTCTGTATGGACTCTGGTGGGGGAGTTTGCCAAGTTCTGGAGCTGCGGAGCCTGACCAGAGCTGGGAGGGAAGCTGTTGGCAGGAGGGTGTGTGGGGTCTGTCCCCCAGGGCTGTGGCCCCTGGGTCCTTTAGGATGTTTTCCTTCCCCTCTGGCTCTTCCTCCTCGGCTGTAAGATGAAGCTGGACTTGTTTGCAGTATCTCCCTCAGCGCTGATGACTTGCGAGTTGGGACAATGGTGGGGCAGACTCAACAATTAGTTCTCTTCCTTTGAAGAGGCCTTTGGGTACCTAATGGGCTGTTTCATGCTCTAGAATGGGCGCCTAGGCTGCAGTGGAGTCTTCTGTTGAAGGGCTGGGACTATGGCCACTTCCAGAAGTCAGCGTGCTGTTTTGGGATTTCGGCAAGCCTCTGATGCAAAGCTCCTCTGACGGGGATCTTGGTGTCTAAGGGAAAGAAGGAAACTGTATCTCTCCCGATTGCTTCCAGTGTGGAACTGGGAAGTACCAGAGCCAGAAGCCGCACGAAATCCCCATTAGTAGACCTGGTCTCCCAGGGTCACTGTCCCACCTTCCTATCCTGCTTTGGCCCCTCTGTCCTCCTCACCCAGGGGCCAGGCAGGACAGGCTCAGCCTTCTCCCAGCCTAATAGTGTGAGTCTGGCCAGACCTAACGACCCAGAGTCCGAGGTGAAACCTGTCCTGCCGCCACGGTGGGCCCCAGCTCTGCCGACCTTCTGGAGGGGAGGAGCTGAGCTTTCTGGCTCCGGGAACTCTGGCCATCTGTGCTCTGCTGACACCGTGATGTCTGGCACTGTCATTGGGCTGCACAGAGTCGGTCACCACAGAAAGCTGCGTCAGGAGAGCCTCCGTTTCCAAACAAGAAAGGCCTGGGCCTGAGGGCTTCCTTGAAATTCTAAAGCCCTTTACAGGAAACCTTTACAGGGTTCTGGGATGAGGCATCCAGCAGGTGTCCACTTGTTGGCTCTTGGCCTCCGTCTCCCTAACTGCAGCCGGGGTGCAGCTGTGGAGTAGTGCAGTGCTGGTTGGTTTGACTCAGTTCACTGGGGCCAGCCGCTCCGCGCTGTGGGGTCAAAATGTTCACGGTAAAGCAGAGGTCTGCATGCTCTCACGGCACCCCGGGGTCTGTGTGTGCCCACGTGTGTGCCCATGGGTGTGAGCGTGGTGACGCAGTGTTTGTTTGTTTTTTTTTTTTTACAATGCCTTTATTAGCTCTTTCTTTTTAAACTTTATTTTATGTGTGCTGGTGTGACGGTGTCAGATCCCCTGGAACTGGAATTACAGACAGCTGTGAACTGCTGTGTGGGTGCTGGGACTTGAACCCGGGTCCTCTGGAAGAGCAGCCATCTCTCCAGCCCTCAGTGCCACAGTTTTCACCATGAGTTATAGTAACGGTGCCAGCGTGTCACCCGTCACGCCGATCTTGAGCCGAGGAGGCAGCAAGCAGTGCCGGGGACTTGAAGGGGGGTGGTTTGTTCAACACAGCTGTAGAGTTTTTAGTGCTGGAGCTGCCTTGGAGGTCATTTGGCTCGCTTCCCTTAGAGATGAGGGCCTTGAGGTGGGGGGACAGGGCGAGAACTGCCCTGATCATAGTCACAGGGGACAGAAATGTCCGGACAATGCAGTCTCCCCCTTGGCTGACCATGGCCTTTGGGCCCCAAGTCTGGCTGTGCTCATTCCGTGGAGGATGAGAGAGTGCTTGGCTTCCTTTCCAGATGACTGGCAACAAATGCCTTTCTCTAGGAAATGCATCTACTCGGCTGTTTGTCATCGCAGCATCTGGGAGCCACTGAGACAAAGGATGCACAGGCCTAAGTGCTCTTTGGTTCTGAATGGAACCATCCGGAAGGATCTCTGCTTTGGTTTGGTTCCTGAGAGCTTGACAGATCAGCTGGTGGCTTGAGTGGCCGAGACCCACTTTTCAGGGCAATCTAGGGCTTGGTGTCCTCGGCTGGGTTGTTGGGGAGCTCTGGAAGCTCTTTAAGCCTTGTTTCCATCCGAGGTGGTCCCACGCTGGGGTCCCCGGGGAGGGCACTGCCTGTGACCCACACGTGCCTGCCTAGGCTGGGCCCAGAGCATTTCCACAGTATCCCTGAGGTGGGGAGTGTGTCAACAGGTCTGCCTGAGGGTGACATGTTGTCCTCTACGACATCTCACAACTGCATGGGCCAGGCTCTTGCCCTGTCATGTTCAGGGGAGTTCAGGAACAAACAAGGATTTGAGAACAGGCAAAGATTCTGGAGTTCACGGTAATTTTGTGGGGGGTGTTTGGAGACATTGGGATTTTCAGAAATCTGGGGCACATGGAGATTCTGGGGAGACTCTGGAGTCCTCACCTCACGTATGCAGTAGGCCTGGGCTGTGGCCTGGGTGCGTTTAATGCTCTCAGTCAGCTGTTTTGTTCTATGTCATGTGTTTACCCTGAGATAGAATTATCTAGAAGGGTTGGGCTTAGAGCCCTTAGCCTCTGTCCTTATGAGGGTCTCATTATGGTGGCCCCCACTTATATCAGGGAGGGGTATCTTGGCCTGGCCTTCAAATGATTTATGTGATGGCTAATCTTGGCTGTCAGCTTGACTCCCTGGGAAGAAGGAGCCCAACTGAGGGGCATTTTCTTGATTTCTAATTGATCCAGGCGGCTCTCGTCCGCAGTGAGCAGTGCCACCGTTAGCCAGGCGGCTCTCGTCCGCAGTGAGCAGTGCCACCGTTAGCCAGGCGGCTCTCGTCCGCAGTGAGCAGTGCCACCGTTAGCCAGGCGGCTCTCGTCCGCAGTGAGCAGTGCCACCGTTAGCCAGGCGGCTCTCGTCCGCAGTGAGCAGTGCCACCGTTAGCCAGGCGGCTCTCGTCCGCAGTGAGCAGTGCCACCGTTAGCCAGGCGGCTCTCGTCCGCAGTGAGCAGTGCCACCGTTAGGCAGGTGGGCCGGGGTTGTACTGCAGGGAGGTTTAGCAGGCGGGGAAGCTAGGCATTGACAGCTCTCCTCCATGGTGTCTGCCCCCAGCTTCCTTCTTGCCCAGGCTTCCCTGAGCCTGTGAGCTAACGCAAACCACCCCCTCCTCTGAGTTGGTTTTGGACAGTGTTCATCACGGCAACAGAAAAGCAAATGCGGACACCTTGCAGTAATTGTTTAAGCAGTTCAGCACCTAGCATGCTAAAGGAGACCATGGCACCAGCGTCCTGAGACACACAGAGCACACACAAGTGAAGGGGAGCACTCTGCAGCCCCAGGACCCCAGAGGGGTGACTTGTGGCTGGGAGCAGTAGGAACAGAGACGAATAGGAAGCTGGGCCCCAGTGCTACAATTATTTTTTTTTAAATTTAACTTAGAAGCAATCTTATATATCAATCCCAGTTCCCGTTCCCTCCCATCCTCCCATGCCCCCTACCAACCCCATCACATCCCTCTTCTGCTCCATAGAAAGGGTGAGACCTTCTATGAGGGATCATCAAAGTCTGTCACTTCATTTGGAGCAGGACCTAGCCCCTCCCCTGTGTGTCTAGGCTGAGAGAGCATCCCTCTATGTGGAATGGGCTCCTAAAGTCCATTCGTCTGCTAGGGATAAATACTGATCCACTACCAGAGGCCTGCTGAGGACCCAAACTCAGGTCCTCATGATTGCATGCCAGATACCAGCCGAACCATCTCCCCTGTCCTACATCTCTTTCTTTTTTTCTCTTCCTTTTCATTTCGTGTGTGTGTGTGTATCTGTATCTGTGTGTGTCTGTGTGTGTGTCTGTGTGTGTGTATCTGTGTGTGTATATTTGTGTGTGTGTGTATCTGTGTGTGTGTATATATTTTTGTGTGTATGTCTGTGTGTGTGTGCGTGTGTGTATGTCTGTGTGTGTGTATCTGTGTGTGTCTGTGTGTGTGTGCGTGTCTGTGTGTGTGTATCTGTGTGTGTATGTGTGTCTGTGTGTGTGTGTCTGTGTGCGCGTGTCTGTGCGTGTGTCTGTGTGTGTGTATCTGTGCGTGTGTGTGTGTGTGTGTGTGTGTGTGTGTGTGTCTGTGGAAGCCAGAGGTTAATGTGGGTTGTCTTCCTTGATTGCTTCTCTGCCTTACTTTTTGAGAAAGGATCTCTCCTGAACCAACTAGTTAGACTGACTGGCTGGCAAGGCTGTGGGATCTTCCTGTGTCCACTTCCCCAACTCTGGGGGCATAGGCACACGGCACTGTGATGCTTTGCCTTTTATTTTCTAAAGATTTATCTTGTGCCTATGTGTATGTACGTGCAGGTCCCTGAAGAGGGCGTTGCAATGGCAGCACCTGGAGTTGCAGGCAGTTGTGAGCTGCCTGATGGGGGTGCTGAGAACTGAACTCAGGCCCTCTGCAAGAGCAGCGTGTGCTTCTAACTGTCACGCCGTCCCTCCGGCCGCCAGCTTTTCTCTGTTTTAAGTTGGTACTGAGGGTTTGAGGATCTGAGTGGGTCTTTGTGCCGGCTCTGTAAGCACATCACTGAACCATCTTCCCAGGCTGGTTTTGGCTGGTCTTACACTCTCTATGCAGCTGAAGATGATGACTTTGAGCCCCAGTCTTCCTGCCTCTACCTTCCAAGTGCTGAGATTACAGCTGCGTCCCACCACACCCAGCTGCCACTCTGTTGAACTTGAAGGTCAGTTTATCAGTTACCGCAAGGGACTCATGTGATCTCTCTTGTGATTGCACTGGGTTTGTAGAGAATTTTAGACAACAGACTTAGTCAGGGTTCTCAAGAGGGACGAATTGTATGACTGTGTGTCAAGATGGTTGAATATATATTGAAGGGGAGATTTATTAGATCGACTTATAGGATAAGGTCTGGGCAGTCCAACAGTTGATGCTGGAGATGCAGTCTGTGAGGTCAGACACTCAGCCCTCCCAGTCTGGCACTGGATGATTCCAGAGAGCCACTGGTTTTCAGTTCATGCTTGAAGCTGGAGACCCTGAGTTCTGATGGCGGTGAAGGGTGTTGGCAGCGGTGGCAATGGCGGTGTCAGAGCAGTGAGAGGCAGAGACAAAAGGCAGACTGCTCCTTCCCCTGGGTCCTCTGCCGCTGATCCTCCACCGGAAGGCGTGTCCACACGAAAGGCGGGTGTTCTTACTTCAGTTAACAAGAAACCCATCCCAGGCTCCCAGAGGCTTTTCTCGTGGATGGGTCTAGATCCTGTCAAGCTGAAATCAGCAGTAGCCATGACAGTAGTTGGCGTCTTGATGTTTGGTTGTGAGCCGAGGCTTTACCAGCTGAACCATCGCTCTAGCCCAGTATTAGCATCTTAATAATATTAAATACCCCAACTGATAAACATGGGTTATCTTTCCATTTATATAGATCCTAAGTTTTATAATTTTCAGAGTACAGGTTTTGGCCTTGATTAGTAAGTTGAGTGCCAAGAGTTTAATTCTTTTTGACTGTATTAGTCAAATGACTTCCTTTATTTTTGGATTTATTAACACCTTTAAAAGAGCTGTTATTATTTTTGTGTGTATGAATGTTTTGCCTGTATGTAGCAGGTTAATGATACCCAGGGAAGCCAGAAGTGGGTGTTGAATCTCCTGGAACTGGAGGAAAAGATGGCTGTGAGCCACCAGGCGAGTGCTGGGAACCAAACCTGGATCGTCTGCAAGAGCAGTGCTCCTAACTGCTGAGCCGCTCCTCCAGCCCCACCCGATGTGTTGGTTTGTCCCTGTGTCTTTGCAGAGCTGGTGGAGTCACGCTTTCAGTGCTGGCTCCTCTGGAGCTCCCTGTCTAGAAGACCATGCCATTTGTGAGTACAGATTCTTCCCCGTCTTCCTTTCCAATCTGAGGCTTTTGTTTCTTTCCTGTCCACTGCTCTGGGTTGGATTTCCAGTTCTGTGTTGAATAGAAGCACTAAAAACGGACATGTCTCAGCCTTTTACCCCTGAGTGTGGTATTAGTGCTGAGATTTTCCCGTATGGCCTTTAATGTCTTATGAGTGTTCTCTCTTGCAGGTTTTTCCCCCCATTGCAAAAGGTCATTTTATTTTTTCAAATGCTTTTTCTGAGCCACGTGCTCCCTTCTGCCAGTGTGGCCCACTGCATTGATTTCTGTATGCTGAGCCGTCTTTGTGTTTCTAGGAAACCTCCCTTAGCCGTGATGTGCATTCGTGCTTGTGTGTTGCTGAGCTTGCATAGCTAATGTTTACCTAAGGTTTTTGCATCTGTATTCCTGAAAGGTATTGCTTCTTCCTAGGAATGACTTTGGCTTTTGCTATCAAGGTAAAACTGGCCTCACAGAATGAGTAAGGAAGCAGAGAAGTCAGGATTTCCTGTTCTATTTACCTGGAGAGTTTGCGCATGATTTCTGTTAATTCCCTAAACACTTGGTAGACTGGCCAGTTCAGCCTTCTGGACCTGGGTTATTTTTACAGATGGTTGTAGTCACTGAGTCCGCCCCATTATCCACTGCGGTTCTTTTCAGAGTTCCCATTTCCTCTGGAGTGAATTTCAGTAGTTCGCATCTTTAATAGTGTCCTAGAGCTGTTGTCACTAAGAATCGTAAACCAAGTGGCTGGAAGCAGTGGGGGTTTCTCTTAAGTCTGTAACCTCACTGGGCACGTGCTCTTTCGCTGCCTCTGCCTGGCTTCCAATGGCCCCAGGCATTCCTTGCTCTGCGGTGGCGGTATTCTGAAGTTTGCCTTTGCCTTCCAGTGACCCACCTCAGTGAGATTTCACACCGCTTTCCCTGTGTGTGTCCCTGTGTCCCAGTGTCGCTTTTCTTTTTGTGTAGTACTGCTCATGTGGACTAGGGCCCACCCAGATGGACTCATCGTAAATTGAACGCTTCTGCAAAGAGGCTGGGGTGCTGAGAGCCAAGACCTCAGCATGCCCACGCCTTCCCCCAGGGGACTCGGTGTAACCCACAACACCGTCTCACTAGGGGTCTTCTCTCTTCGTCTCTCACCACAGGGATGGCACAGTGTCTGCTTAAGAACTTTTCGTTTTGGAAGGTGGGTGTGCCTTCCAGTGACGTACCCACGGCCTTCTTTCAGCATCCTTCTTCCCTTCTAGGTACCCGGCACAGGCTCCACACTGGATGTAAGTGCTCGTAGTCTTTTGTTAAACCTATGAGCGAGGGCTGGAGAGAGGCCCAGCAGCTAAGAGCACTGGCCACTCTTGCAGAGGATCTTTGTCCAGTTCCCAGCACCCACGTGGTGGCTCACGGTCTGGACTTCCACTTCCAGAAGTTTCTTTCTGGCCCTTGTGGGCACAGAGACAATGCATGCAGGCAAAACACCCACACACAAGAAATAAAGATAAATCATGTGTACTTTTTAAACTTCCGGGTGAAGTGCTTTGCAGTGACAGCAGATTTAGTGGGGCCAGCCAGGGTCCTGTGCTACAGGTGGGTATGGGACACTAAGTATGTGACTGTTCTGTGTCCCAGAGGACACAGGGACTCAGACAGGGGCCAGACCCTGGCTGTGATAGTCTGGGTTCTCAGACGAGCCAGGTCTGCAGTGGACAGGTGGACGGGTGAGTGTGTGGGTGAAGGGGTAAGGAGCCAGGTGAGGGGTCAGGAAGCCACAGGTTGCTGCTGTGGGAGAGACGGGGATGTCTGTGTCCAGGGGCTGTCCTGGGAGAATGCAGTCACCCTCTGCCGCACCGTCTCTCACACACAGCCAGGCTTGTGAGCCCTTTCCTTCTATCGACTGCCGTCCCTGGGGGCTCCAGAGTCAGAAAGGGAGGTGCACACACGCACACACTGCTCCTGACTGTCCAGCACCCCTGGTGACGAGCCCTGGTGACACCCAGTGTTGTCAGCCTGGGCACGTAGGTCTAGGTTTGGACAGGCACAGAAGGAAGGGCATTCTAGCCTCATTCACTCTCGCCACTCATCTGCTCCTAGAAGACTATTGTGTGGTTGGAAGGGCCACCCACAAGGTGAGCTGGAGAGCCCACCCAGAGCCAGACCACCAGGCTTCCTGCCATAGGTGGGGCAGACTGAACCTTGGGTTCTTGTCTGTAAACCTGGGGCCTCTTGGGTCTTCTCCCTGGGAGCATTCAGAGGACTGTGGATTCCCTTCTGAAATCTGGTGGGCCACTCCACCAGAAAATGCTTAGGTCTGGACCTACTGTTTCCTTTAGGTGGTGTAATTAGCAGGTCTCAGTGCCCAGTGCTTGCTGTGCATGGGAGAATGCGGGACCCTGACTGACAGGCTTGACCGACCTCTCAGAGTATACCATGCATCTATTACTTCCACAATATTTTGCAATAAGACTTAAACATAGCTGTGGTGGGCACAACTTGAGAGCCTTGTAGATATTTACTTTGTTTAGAAACTGAGTCTGAGCTGATAATGGGTATAGCCAAATCTACCCCATTCCAAACAGAACCTTCTCTCCTGCCTCCTCCAGCTCTTCACTGGCTTCTAGGACACAGAGCTGGGTCATACACACCCCAGGATGTAGATAGTAGGGTTGTCTATTCAGAACATCACACACACACACATACACACACACACACACACACACACACACACACACAGACTCACAGACATACACCACACAGACACACATACCATACACACACACACACACACACACACACATACACACCACATAGTCCCACACACAGACATACACACAGACAAGCCACACATAGACTCACAGACACACACACAGATACACACACCACACACACACACACACACATGTGCACACACAGAGTAGGGCTGTAAACTTCCCACCCCCACTGTGTTCAGTACACAACAGGGTTGTACACATCAGCATACAGTTGGCAGGCCACACAGAGCTGTGTTTCCCTGGGCTATGTGATGGGAACCAAGTAGGGGTAGGCAAAGGAAGTTTAGGAGCAGTGTAGTTATTCCACCAGGAAGTGGGATGGCCGTGGTGTGGGTGAGTTCTGCCTGGTGGGAAGTAAGGCGTTTCTGGCCCCTGCTAGGACCGGGCTCACAGAATGGAGGCGTGAGGTGAAGGGGATGTACCGTGAAATTCTGGGCTGACAAGCAGAGTCAGGCCCGAGAGTTTCACGACCCTCTCATTGCTGGGAGCCTGAGTCCCCATGGGGCCTTGGCCTCAGGAGTCCCAGTACCAGAGCAGCTTATGAGGACTGGGAGGTCCACACCAGCTCAGCGTCTTTCCCAGGACTGTTTCGGGCACCCGGGGCCACTGAGCGGAGGTGAAGGCTCTTGGATAACTCAGGACCTCCGCTTGCTCCCGAGGACTCTGGCCCTGGGCTTCCCCATGGCTCCCTCCATGTGACAGAGCTGTGGAGACATGCTTGTTTTACCCCAGGGTCAGGAGGAGGGGCTGTGCTTGTCAGAGTTCCCTGGACATCCCCCCTCTCACTTTTGTCCCCTCTAGGTGAGTGTGCCCACGTGTGTGCCTGCAACGAGACGGGAATGCTGGAGAGGTTGCCCCGCTGTGGGCAAGCCTTCGCGGACATGATGCGGAGGGTGGATGTCTGGAAGTGGTGCAACCTATCCGAGTTCATCGTGTGAGTGCCCCCTGCTGGTCTCGGGACCCAGTCACGTGCCCTTTGCACTCTGCCTGGCCCCTCCCACTCTTCTGCTCGAGGTCCAGGGCAGGTCCGCCACAGCCCTCCACAGTCCCCACCAGCTTTGCCTACACCCTGCCCTGGACTGTAGGGGCTTCTGGGGTTTGCCTGGCTTAGCCACATGGAGCTGTGAGGGCAGTTGCGGGTGGTATTTCTGGGCCTTGGAAACGTGGAGGCCATAACATGTGGTCCTCAACACACATAGAGGTGAGGGGCCTTCTGAGGCAAAAGGTTTCCTGGGGTGTTTGTGACTCCCTGTCCCAGATGCCCTGAGGGTGAAGCTGGTGGCCTCTGAGTCTGGCAGGATTCCGGGCCTCTCTGCTTCTGGTTCTTCCTTGTAGGTTCCGACCTTGGAGGCCACAGGTGTGTGGCTTGGGCTTTGAGAAGTGTGAGTCAGGAATCTGGCTGAATGAGGATTGGGACCCCGTAGTCCACCCCCCCTTTTCATCTTTACTCTGATGTTTCTGGCAATTCAGATCGCAATGATGTTTTTGAAGCAGCCTGTTGGAAGTAGCTCCTTCCTGTTTATGGGCAAGCCCCCACTGCTTCCTGGAACAGCACAGGAAGGAGGAGGTGGGCCCTGCCCTGATGGGGAGCAGGGCCAGGATCCTCTTTCTCAGTGCTCGTCCTTCCTCTGGACAGGCCTGGGAAGTGCTGCCTGGGGAGAGATGCTGGCTTTGGGCAGACAACCATCCTCTGGGTTTCCTCCAGAGCTTCTTAGCTGACCTTGGCCTCAGAGACCCCCAACAGCAGGGAGGTCACCACCTCCAGAGGCTGCCTATTGCATCCTAGACTAGGCTCTACTTGGAAATCCTTTACATACATCCAGCTGAACTCTGGTTCCCGGTAGTGGTAGCCCCTGGGCAGCCTACAGAGCCAGTGCAAGTCTGGTTAGGTGAGGCCCTTCTCCGGAGGCTCTCTGGGGCCTCTCCCACGATTACTCATGGGAGCAGTTCCCTCGCACACTGTCAGACGGGGCAGACGGGCAGAGGCTGGGCCTCGTAGGTTCACCTGGCGTGTGGGAGCGGATTGGTTTGGTTGGGAGGAAGCTGGCCCTGGACACGGGCAGACTCTTTTCTCAGGCCTTCTGGATGCTCTGATGGTGAGAGCCTTGCAAGTCCGTGTGGCTGTGGGCCTGGGCTCCACGTCTTTTGAGGACACGTGTAGCGTGTTGGGGAGGTCAGTTGCTGAACAGCCATCGTGGGCCCTGGGAGCTTACAGCTTCAGGGGATCAGATAATGGTCAGGGGATCAGATAATGGCCACAGATGATGGAAAATGATGTGGAGAAAAGGCCACAGGTGTACAGATGACCCAGTTGGACTTGACTTCTAAGGCTGCAGTTTTGGCAGGCGGCCAAGTGGGACTGAGCCCAGACCTCTCTCTGTTTGTCTGTTGGGTCCCGGGCAGGGAGGCGTGAGGGGTGTTGGGAGTTACGGTCTTACCCTCTGCCTCTGCAGGGAGGCGTGAGGGGTGTTGGGAGTTACCGTCTTCCCTCTGCCTCTGCAGGGAGGCGTGAGGGGTGTTGTGAGTTACGGTCTTACCCTCTGCCTCTGCAGCGAGGCGTGAGGGGTGTTGTGAGTTACGGTCTTACCCTCTGCCTCTGCAGCGAGGCGTGAGGGGTGTTGGGAGTTACCGTCTTACCCTCTGCCTCTGCAGGGAGGCGTGAGGGGTGTTGGGAGTTACGGTCTTACCCTCTGCCTCTGCAGCGAGGCGTGAGGGGTGTTGGGAGTTACCGTCTTCCCTCTGCCTCTGCAGCGAGGCGTGAGGGGTGTTGGGAGTTACCGTCTTCCCTCTGCCTCTGCAGGGAGGCGTGAGGGGTGTTGGGAGTTACCGTCTTCCCTCTGCCTCTGCAGGGAGGCGTGAGGGGTGTTGGGAGTTACCGTCTTCCCTCTGCCTCTGCAGGGAGGCGTGAGGGGTGTTGGGAGTTACGGTCTTCCCTCTGCCTCTGCAGGGAGGCGTGAGGGGTGTTGGGAGTTACCGTCTTCCCTCTGCCTCTGCAGGGAGGCGTGAGGGGTGTTGGGAGTTACGGTCTTACCCTCTGCCTCTGCAGCAAGGCGTGAGGGGTGTTGGGAGTTACCGTCTTCCCTCTGCCTCTGCAGGGAGGCGTGAGGGGTGTTGGGAGTTACCGTCTTCCCTCTGCCTCTGCAGGGAGGCGTGAGGGGTGTTGGGAGTTACGGTCTTACCCTCTGCCTCTGCAGCGAGGCGTGAGGGGTGTTGGGAGTTACCGTCTTCCCTCTGCCTCTGCAGCGAGGCGTGAGGGGTGTTGGGAGTTACTGTCTTCCCTCTGCCTCTGCAGCGAGGCGTGAGGGGTGTTGGGAGTTACCGTCTTCCCTCTGCCTCTGCAGGTACTACGAGAGCTTCACTAACTGCACGGAGGTGGAGACCCACGCCGTGGGCTGCCACTGGCCCAACCCGCTGGCTCAGAGCTTCATTGCTGGCATCCACAGGCAGTTCTTTTCCAACTGCACCGTGGACAGGCCCCACTGGGAAGACCCCCCGGATGAGGTGCTCATTCCACTGATCGCAGTGCCCGTCGTGCTGACCGTGGCCATGGCTGGCCTGGTGGTGTGGCGCAGCAAGCGCACGGAGCAGCTCCTGTGAGGGTCTGCCCGCCGGGAGCAGCTCCTGTGAGGGTCTGCCCGCCGGGAGCAGCTCCTGTGAGGGTCTGCCCGCCGGGAGGCCCTGCCCGGCGAGCACGCTGAGAGCCGTTGGACGCTTCCTCTGTTTGGTCTGTTGAGGCACACCCTACCTGGTCACGGCAGAGTCCTCCTGCCCAGGCTGATGTAGCCCCTGCTGTCTAGCCTGCTGCCCGACAGAGCTCAGGCTGGCCATAAAGTGGGCTAAAGGAAGGGACAACACTCAAGTCTGTGTGCCGGATGCGGAAGTCACCTGCCCACCTGGCTGGGTCCCACATTCCCCGGGCCAGGATCCCTAGTCTCTAGCCATTTCTTGGCAAAATCTTGTTCATCCTCGACCCCGGCCAAGGTCCTGACCCTGATCCCTGCCACGCTTGGGCAGAGACGGCAGGCGAGGCCATCTGGAAGATGTGGAGCCCTGAGCCCTTCTGACTGGGAGACTGAGTATGTCTTCTGTTGGACATGAAGGACAGCCTGGGGACTGGGGAACGGAGACGTGAGGAACCACGCATCACCTGGGGGTCTGCCTGTCTCCTGTCTGATCTGTCATGGTTCTGTGTCCAGTGTGGCCTGGAGCTGGGGATTGGCCAGCCCTTCAAAGTCTCCTGCCCTGTAGGTGAGGCGTGGACCTCCGTCTGGAGGGGGCTGCCTGGCAGGAAGGCACACTCTGAGGAGAGTGCATGGTGTTCTGTCTGTGGATGTCTGCTCTTGGTCATTAAAGAGTCTCCTAACTTACATCTGGCCATTTCTTGTTTTATTTCAGGGCATTCAGGGTTAGTGGGTGGGTCTCTCAGGTGTTCAGACTGAAGTCACAGGGGTCGTGGCCACAGGAGAGGGCCTTGGGTGGCCTGCTTCAGCATCCTCTCTCCTCTCTTCCCTTGTCAGCTTTTGCCAGAGGCCCTGCTGTGGGTTTGAGGGAGGAGAGGCCCTGGCCAGATATGACCAGCCAGGTGCTGGTCAGTAGGTGGTGCTGGACCGTCTTCTGGCTTCGTCCGTCTTCCAGCTGGAGGACCTGCATCGTTGGGTATAGGCTGCTGACCTCACTGTCCTCTGATAGTGTGTTTCCCTACTGCACCCAGATTGTGGCCTTGGAGACCTCTTGGCAGACACCATGGGATTGCAGGTCTGGGTGCCTGGCTGAGCATAGCCAATCGCAGGATCGGGGGCCATTCCTTGTTTCTGAGGAAGGCCAGAGTGTGGAAGGTTGCCACGTGAATGAGAGCCCGCTTTGTGACTCCTGGCGAACCTCCTGCCACCAGCGTAGCGTCTCTGAGATGAGATGCCGTCTCTGAGATGAGATAACCTCCTGGATCCTGCAGTGACAGACCATCTCGTCCATACTGGGGGCCGCATAGAAGATTAGACGCGGAGCATCACGTGATTCTGGGAGGCCTGGGAAGGGTGCATCTCCAGTACTGTCTTGCTCCCCCAGTTTGAGCACCCCTGAGCCATCTTTCTGAAATGTGCTGGAGAAACCCCTGCCTCCTCCCTTGGGGAAGTCACCTCCAGCCATCTCCTGGGTTCCATAAGCCAGGGTTGCTGATAGCTTCCCAGACAGGAGTTACTTCCCAGCAGGGGTGAGCCTGGGCCTCTCTGTAGATGTTGGGCTCTATCACCCAGTCTCCCATCCCTGTTTCTGTCAGCAACAGTGAGGCCTCGCTCTTGGAGCTGAGTGGTTACAGTTCACACCTGTGCTCAGAGGAGCCACCTATGGGAGTCCCTGAGAAGGGACAGGAGAAGAGGCATAAACAGAGGTAAGTACTGGGACTTGGTGGCACTCCTTTAATTCTAGCATAAAGACATTCGAATCTTTGTGAATTTGAGGGCAGCCTGATCTACATAGCAAGTTCCAGACCAGCCAGAGCCACACAGTGAGACACCGTCTCAAAAGAACAAAGGAACACAACACAACAAAAGTTCCTTTGTCAGAGATGCCTGAAGGAGCAGTTCCCAGGCCCCTGGGGTGGGTCTCAGGGTCCTCCAGGTTGAAGCAACCATGGCAGGGGTGAGGGCCTGGGCAGGCAGCTGAGGCCTGGCCTTTACTCCAGGGCTTTGCTGCAGACATGAACGCTCCTCATGGGATCCTGTAGGCAGGTGTGGGCCCCACAGTTGATTCAGAGCCCATTCCTGCGGGAAAAGTGTCTGCCCCAGCAAACCCCCAGGGTTGGGTCAGAGGCCAGAGGCCTTCTGGAGCAGTGGCATGGTAAGAATGCGGGGAAAGGCCTGTGAGTGCTGAGGCAGGCGGGCAGCTACTCAGCGTCACATCTGGTCTGGCATACGAGGGACTTCCAGTTATGATGGGGGATGCGGGGTCAGTGGCAGCAAAGGACACAGTGAGTGACCCTGTGAGGTGTGTATGGGGTCAGGCTGGTGCTTAGCAGTCTGGTGTCTTTTATGCATATATGTCTTCATAAAGGGTGCAAGTGCACATGCGTGCGTGCATGCATATGATGTGTGTGCACGCGTGTGGTGTGTGTGTGCATACGTGTGGTGTGTATGTGCGCATGTGTGGTGTGTGTGCTTGCATGCGTGCGTGCGTACGTGTGTGCGCATGTGCATGCGTACATATGTGCGTGTGCATGCATGCATGTGGTGTGCCCGTGAAAAATGCATGTGTGTGGTGTGTATGTGCGTGTATGCATGCGTGTGGTGTGTGCGTGTGTGCGTGTGTGTATGTGTGTGTGTGTGTGTGTGTGTGTGTAGGTGAGGGGTCTGTGCCTGGCACTGTTGGCATGAGAGGCAGTCCTGGGGGGAATAGAAATGTACGGTCAAGTGGCTGGACTGTGACTGTGTCTGTGTCTGTGTCTGTGACTGTGACTGTGACTGTGACTGTGTCTGTGACTGTGACTGTGGCGTGGCTGTGACTGTGTCTGTGACTGTGACTGTGGCTGTGACTGTGACTGTGTCTGTGTCTGTGACTGTGACTGTGGTTGTGACTGTGATGACTGTGACTGCACTGTGACTGTGACTGTGACTGTGGTTGTGACTTTGATGACTGTGGCTGTGGCTGTGACTGTGGCTGTGAATGTGACTGTGACTGTGTCTGTGACTGTGACTGTGACTGTGTCTGTGTCTGTGTCTGTGACTGTGACTGTGACTGTGGCTGTGACTGTAACTGTGTGTCTGTGTCTGTGACTGTGATGACTGTGACTGTGACTGTGATGACTGTGACTGCACTGTGACTGTGACTGTGACTGTGGCTGTGACTGTGATGACTGTGACTGTGTCTGTGACTGTGACTGTGTCTGTGACTGTGACTGTGATGACTGTGACTGTGGCTGTGTCTGTGATGACTGTGACTGCACTGTGACTGTGTCTGTGACTGAGACTGTGTCTGTGACTGTGACTGCACTGTGACTGTGACTGTGACTGTGTCTGTGACTGTGACTGTGACTGTGACTGTGACTGTGGTTGTGATTGTGACTGTGTCTGTGACTGTGACTGTGACTGTGACTGTGATGACTGTGACTGTGGCTGTGTCTGTGATGACTGTGACTGCACTGTGACTGTGTCTGTGACTGAGACTGTGTCTGTGACTGTGACTGCACTGTGACTGTGACTGTGACTGTGTCTGTGACTGTGACTGTGACTGTGACTGTGGTTGTGATTGTGACTGTGTCTGTGACTGTGACTGTGACTGTGATTGTGACTGTGATGACTGTGACTGTGGCTGTGGCTGTGACTGTGACTGTGACTGTGGCTGTGATTGTGACTGTGGCTGTGGCTGTGACTGTGTCTGTGACTGTGTCTGTGACTGTGGCTGTGACTGTGACTGTGATTGTGACTGTGATGACTGTGACTGTGGCTGTGGCTGTGACTGTGACTGTGGCTGTGACTGTGACTGTGTCTGTGACTGTGGCTGTGACTGCACTGTGACTGTGACTGTGGCTGTGACTGTGACTGTGGCTGTGACTGTGACTGTAACTGTGACTGTGGCTGTGACTGTGACTGTGTCTGTGACTGAGACTGTGACTGTGTCTGTGACTGTGGCTGTGACTGTGGTTGTGACTGTGACTGTGACTGTGACTGTGTCTGTGACTGTGGCTGTGGCTGTGACTGTGTCTGTGACTGTGGCTGTGACTGTGACTGTGTCTGTGACTGTGACTGCACTGTGACTGTGACTGTGGCTGTGACTGTGTCTGTGACTGTCTGTGACTGTGACTGTGACTGTGACTGTGGCTGTGACTGTGACTGTGTCTGTGACTGAGACTGTGACTGTGACTGTGACTGTGGCTGTGATTGTGACTGTGGCTATGACTGTGACTGTGACTGTGACTGTGACTGTGGCTGTGACTGTGGCTGTGATTGTGACTATGGCTGTGACTGTGACTGTGTCTGTGACTGTGTCTGTGACTGTGACTGTGACTGTGTCTGTGACTGTGACTGTGACTGTGCCTGTGACTGTGGCTATGTCTGTGTCTGTGTGACTGTGTCTGTGACTGTGACTGTGGCTGTGACTGTGGCTGTGATTGTGACTATGGCTGTGACTGTGACTGTGTCTGTGACTGTGTCTGTGACTGTGACTGTGACTGTGTCTGTGACTGTGACTGTGACTGTGCCTGTGCCTGTGCCTGTGGCTATGTCTGTGTCTGTGACTGTGACTGTGGCTATGTCTGTGACTGTGACTGTGACTGTGACTGTGGCTGTGACTGTGGCTGTGATTGTGACTATGGCTGTGACTGTGACTGTGTCTGTGACTGTGGTTGTGACTGTGATGACTGTGACTGCACTGTGACTGTGACTGTGACTGTGGCTGTGATTGTGACTGTGGCTGTGACTGTGTCTGTGACTGTGTCTGTGACTGTGGCTGTGACTGCACTGTGACTGTGACTGTGGCTGTGACTGTGACTGTGGCTGTGGCTGTGACTGTGACTGTGGCTGTGACTGTGACTGTGACTGTGGCTGTGATTGTGTCTGTGTCTGTGACTGTGACTGTGTCTGTGACTGTGACTTTGATGACTGTGACTGCACTGTGACTGTGATTGTGTCTGTGACTGTGACTTTGATGACTGTGACTGCACTGTGACTGTGACTGTGACTGTGACTGTGGTTGTGACTTTGATGACTGTGGCTGTGGCTGTGACTGTGACTGTGTCTGTGTCTGTGTCTGTGACTGTGACTGTGACTGTGGCTGTGACTGTAACTGTGTGTCTGTGTCTGTGACTGTGATGACTGTGACTGTGATGACTGTGACTGCACTGTGACTGTGACTGTGACTGTGGCTGTGACTGTGACTGTGTCTGTGACTGTGACTGTGATGACTATGACTGTGGCTGTGTCTGTGATGACTGTGACTGCACTGTGACTGTGTCTGTGACTGAGACTGTGTCTGTGACTGTGACTGCACTGTGACTGTGACTGTGACTGTGTCTGTGACTGTGACTGTGACTGTGACTGTGGTTGTGATTGTGACTGTGTCTGTGACTGTGACTGTGACTGTGATTGTGACTGTGATGACTGTGACTGTGGCTGTGGCTGTGACTGTGACTGTGACTGTGGCTGTGATTGTGACTGTGGCTGTGTCTGTGACTGTGTCTGTGACTGTGTCTGTGACTGTGGCTGTGACTGCACTGTGACTGTGACTGTGGCTGTGACTGTGACTGTGGCTGTGACTGTGACTGTGACTGTGACTGTGGCTGTGACTGTGACTGTGTCTGTGACTGAGACTGTGACTGTGTCTGTGACTGTGGCTGTGACTGTGGCTGTGACTGTGACTGTGACTGTGTCTGTGGCTGTGGCTGTGACTGTGTCTGTGACTGTGGCTGTGACTGTGACTGTGTCTGTGACTGTGTCTGTGACTGTGACTGCACTGTGACTGTGACTGTGGCTGTGACTGTGTCTGTGACTGTCTGTGACTGTGACTGTGACTGTGACTGTGACTGTGGCTGTGACTGTGACTGTGGCTGTGACTGTGTCTGTGACTGTGTCTGTGACTGTGACTGTGACTGTGACTGTGGCTGTGACTGTGACTGTGTCTGTGACTGTGTCTGTGTCTGTGACTGTGTCTGTGACTGTGACTGTGACTGTGGCTGTGTCTGTGTCTGTGTCTGTGACTGTGGCTGTGGCTGTGACTGTGACTGTGTCTGTGACTGTGTCTGTGACTGTGACTGTGGCTGTGACTGTGACTGTGACTGTGGCTGTGGCTGTGACTGTGTCTGTGACTGTGTCTGTGACTGTGTCTGTGACTGTGACTGTGACTGTGACTGTGGCTGTGTCTGTGACTGTGTCTGTGACTGTGTCTGTGACTGTGATTGTGACTGTGACTGTGACTGTGACTGTGTCTGTGACTGTGACTGTGACTGTGTCTGTGACTGTGTCTGTGACTGTGACTGTGACTGTGATGACTGTGACTGTGATGACTGTGACTGTGGCTGTGACTGTGACTGTGGCTGTGACTGTGTCTGTGACTGTGATTGTGACTGTGGCTGTGACTGTGACTGTGGCTGTGACTGTGTCTTTGGTTGTGACTGTGGCTTTGGCTGTGGCTGTGAGAACTCAGGCACCTGAGGAGCAGCTGTATGGAATGGGAGGGAGATGACTGGCTCAGGCAGTCTGTTTCTGGAGGCTCAGCTGTTATGAAACAGGTTACTAGGCCACACTCCAAGGCCCGGTCTAAGGACATGGCAATGACACCTTCTGCAAGTTAATGACATCCTTGCTTATCACAGGGAGGCACTGGTTGATGAAATGAATTTAATTTTTTTTGACAAATAGGATTCTATGCAATTTTATTATTCAACCCAATGGGAAAAAGGTCTTTAAGAGACCTTGGGATTTCTTCTGTTACATATAAATCAAAAATGTATATTGTAAAATAGCACAGGATCCATTTCTAAAAAGATGTGAAAAACTTTGTCCTCCAAAAAACTGTGACAGATGCCAATCATAAAAAGTATGTAATTTAATGAAGCCATTTAAAATCACTTGAAATTGTCCTGGGCCACATTATAAATGAGGGGATGTTTGTTAAAGAGAATTTGCCAGATCTGAGTAAGGACAGGCGATCTGCAGCACCCGAACTACAGCTGCTCCTAGCAAGGCTCCCTGACAGCCCAATCATGCAAAGTGTCATTCACAAGGTGTGGGGCTCCAGGGACCACCTCCACTCCCAGCTCTCCGTCACAGCTATCGAAGTCCCCACAGGAGTGAGGTGTCAGGAGAAACGCCCCTTGTCCCAACCTGCCGGGATCCAGGCACGGGGAGCCTCGGAACTCTTGATGCCCAGTCTAGGATGGCAGCCGTGACTATTGGAAATGCTGAGGCCCTCACCGGATGCTTGAAGCATGTCTGGAAACAGCAGTGAAGGCATAGCAGGGACGGACTGTAGGTTTCGGGGGGGGGGCGTTCCTGTCTGGAGGATGCAGAGGAATGTAGGGGTTCAGACCAGCCACAGAAGTCAGTGAGCAACCCTGGAAAGGTTGTATTCAGGGCACGGGCCCCACCTGGGCAGACGTGAAGGGTCTGGAGTGGAGGACCCATCTCCTCCTGGGATATACAGGGACTCCTTGAGGAAACCTGGCAGACAATCATCAGGGAGAGAGTGTCCCTGGTACCGAGCATCCTGTGTCATGCTGGGCCACCCCGTCACTCCCCAGGGAGCCAGGACTAGGATGCTTCAGTTTTCTTCTTACAGTAGGTGGCCAAGGGGCGGGGTGATGCTGGGGCCCAACCATTCTTGCTGTCCTCTCTGATGGCACCCTTCTTCTGCCCGGCACTCTCAATGCCTGTTAATCTGAGAACTTTCACTCAAACTCACTGGCAAAGCGGCTGCTGGGCTTAGGGGCCGTGTGTGCATGCTGAGGAGCTACCAGCTGGGCTGCAGCAACCCGGGGGTAGTCATGTTTTCCATAATTAGACTCTCTGCTTCTTTCTGCCCTGGGCAGTGACGGGTTGTGGAACTCAGACACCTTCCTCTCAACACTGAGGAGACCACGCGCCGTGCACTGCCCGTCCCACCCTGCCCAGCACACTCCCAGCACACTCCCAGCACACTCCCAGCACACTCCTTTGCTTCTTCCAGCAAGTGAATCACAGCCCCAGTCTGGGGTGCAGAGCCCAGGACTCAGGATGACTCCCCTCCCTCTTTCCTTGTGTTGCTGGGGCTTGAACCCTGCACCTCATGCATGCCAGGCAAGCGCTCTGCCACCAAGCCACATCCCACCCTACTGCTGAGGTCTACTGAACCCACCCTGAGCCAGGCCCCACCAAGGGCTTCATATTCACTTGGGAATTGATATACATGCAAGCTTTTTGCATCTGGGGCTGTGCTGGATTGATATCGGCACCCATGTTCACACTCCCCTGCCCCCAAGCCTACGTCATCCGGTAACCTTTCCACGGATTCGCCTCAAATCAAACAGCAGTGAGCACCGGCATCCAACCAGGAGGAGCACTGTCCCCACATGCTAGCATCCATCTGACGTACGTCTTCTCCCCAAGCATCTCAGTTTCTGTTGCATAGTCCTGCTCACCGTGGGTCAGGAGCAGTGGAAACGGACACAGGGCACTCCGCCTGCGGTCAGTGTTGATGCTGTGCTTGCAACACGGTGCGCTCGCGGGAGTCTCCTTGTCCTGGGGACCTGCTATTGTAGCTGCATGACTGGAGGATTGAGTTCTCAGTGAAGTTATTAGCAACCCAGTGCCTGTTAGGTTCAAGCAATCAAATGCCTGGGAAGTAGGTTTGCTTTCAGTTATCCGGCAAACGGGACTGGAGGGAGATGGTTACCTTGTCATTCTTGCTCCCAAGGCCTCCTCTCAGAGCCTTGGAGATAATGCTGGAGGCAGATGAGCCTGTTTCACAGAGAGGAGGGGAGGGTGCACTCAGTATCCTTGACCACAGAGGCGCACGCACCATCCAGGTCTTCAGGGGAGGATGGAGACGGGGCAGAGGACAGCTGCACGTGGCGCCGTGGCCCCAAAGGACCTCTAGGGCTGGAGCTGCCGAGATGTGAGGGGGCGTCAGCAGGTTATAGTCGTTATGGATGCGTAAGCAGATCTAATTCAGAAATCAAGAGAGCAACTAAACACAGGGAAGTAAGAATGTGCATGTTTCCAGTAACAGTTTAGTAAGGCTGGTGTTATAGCCAGCTTTTATCATTCTACTCATCCGTTCGTCATCTTTCAGCTTCCCATTACAGTAAAAAAGGACCCGAGCCGATCAACTTAAAAAGAAGAAGGGTTTAATTAGCTCATGTTTTCAGGTCATCTGTCTCTGGGGCAGCGTAGCGCGCAAACGGGACTGGAGCAGCAGAAGCAATGGAAAGCAAGGGGAAGGGGCCAGGTCCCGGTGACATAACTTCCTTCATTGACTTCTCCGTCTACGGGATTCACTGCTTTCCTTTGGTGCCACAGGCTGAGAAAGACGCTTGGAATACATGGGCCGGCGGGGTGGGGCGGGCGTGCGGGGCGCATTCCAGATCCACTCCTCCTTCCTTCCTCACAAATAAACATTTAGTTTCTTCTTTTTAGTATTTATGCGAAATGAACAGCAATGGGAGCATGCCAGCTACCTTTTTGCACTGAAAAAAAAATCAAACGGAAAATATATGTTTACTTAGCAGTCACAAAAATGATCTGTATAGTTTTGGATTAAAGACACAATAAAAGCGGAAACCATAAACTGTAAATTTATAACAATAAAAAAAACAGAGATGGGCCAGGGAGGTGGGGGAAGGAGGGGGATCAACTAAAACAGGGCACGAATGAAAATTCCATGAGGAAACCTTCTACTGTGTATTCTAATTAAAGAAAGGGTGGCAGCAAAAGAAACGTTTATACTTCAGAATCCACTGAGGTATGTTCACACACATGGCAGGTTCCAGGAGGCGAAGCTTGCAGCCCCCAGTGCGACCCAACATGGACACAGTCTATGGCTGGCAAAGTGGAGATTGGCCTGTCACTGGCTGCCAGGACCAACGGGCTGGACAAAGTGCTGAGGTGCTTCCCGGGAAGAATGCCCACAAACCTGGCATGTGGCCACCTCAGCGCTAGCCCAGATGCAATCAGGAAGCATGAAGAGTGAGATGAAAGTAAGCATTCGACTCAACGAAAATGAGAAACCCCGAAGAATAGGAGGCAATAAATCGACACAACGACGAAACAGGAAAGAGGTGATCAGTGAAATCTTCAAAGACGGCTCAGGGGGTGTCGGGGGTGACGGCGTGTCCACTGTGCTCGACAACCTGCGTTCTATCCGGAACCCACGTGGCGGAAGGAGTCTGTTCTCCACCTGCGAGTCACAGCGTGAGTGTGCGCTCACACGTGCACAGCAAACAAGTGAATAGTAAGACAAAGATGAAGATGAACTAGAAAGCCCAAACCGAATAATAGCCACAGAAACCTCAGAAACTACCTTAAATACCGATTTCTAAAAAGGTAATAGGACCCAGGTGCGGCACACACGTGTAGTCCGTCTGGTACTCGGGAGGCTGAGGTAGGGAGATGAGGCGTTGAAGACCAGCTCTGTCTACATGATAACCTACCTCACAATGCCACCCGGCTCCCGTGTGTCCTGCAGCACAGGAACTCCAGTACGGGTCTTCAGGAAGGAGGCCATTCCTAATCCCTGAAAAAGGATGAGTGGCTAAAGCAGTAATGAATAAATACTACTGAAGTCCAAAGCAGTAATGAATAAATACTACTGAAGTCTAAAGCAGTAATGAATAAATACTACTGAAGTCCAAAGCAGACAGAGGTGGATTCTGAGATCCAAGTCCAGCTGAGGGGTCAGGAACCAAGTCAGAAGGGGATCCAGGACCCCTCTAATTCCAGGCATTCCCGGGGCCAGGCCAGGAGGTACCAGCAACATCCTATGTGAGGAGTGGCCCCCGGAAAGGGCCACTGGCTGGGTGAGGACATGGAGTGGTGTAGGAGATTCCGAACCCCAGATCCTCTCCTTCTCCTTGCTAAGGCCTCTTCTAAAACGGTGTCCTTTAGTCTGTAGGATTTAAGAGGGACACTGAGGCAGGCTGGGACACAGTTTTCACAAGAGGCTTTGGCATAGAAGGTGTGTGTGTGTGTGTGTGTGTGTGTGTGTGTGTATTGGGGAGGGACCAGGCATGGGAACAGGATGGCGGCAGCTTCTGTAGCCAGATACAGAAACATTTCCTGACAACAGTGGAGCTACCAAAGCAGAAACGTGGACAGACAATAACAAATCCTTCCTGAGTGCCTGCTGCCTTCCAGGAGCCATGGCTGAGGCTTCCACGTCCTGCGATCCCACAGGGCCTCACCCTCCACGGTGGATGCTCTCTCTTTCCTACTTTTTTACAGGGGGAGGAGACTGAGGCCCTGGCATGGGGCCCAATGCCACACTGCCCTTAATCCTGGGGAGAATGTTAGGACACTGCCCTGAATGGTTAGGCCGAGTCCCACAGCCAGGCCTCCCCGCCCCTCTCTGGGACTCTGAGCTGTGACTTGACAGCTCCTGATTTATGGTACCTGGCTCCTCCACGCTCCTTGTCATATAAACTATGATGAACTAAGTCATATGATGTGAAACTTCCCACCACTCCCAAAAGCTATAAAAAGTCAAACCTTTCCTTAGTTCTGGGAGCTTAGTCCTGAGAGACTCTCCAGGGGGGTCTGTTTGGGAGACAGCTCTAAAGGCTGCTTTGGGAAGAGGTTCCTCGGTCGCCATGCTCGCTACCCCACCCCTTCTCATGGTGGCTCTCTCTCCCTCCCTCCCTCTCTCTCCCTCCCTCTCTCCCTCCCTCCCTCCCTCTCTCTCCCTCCCTCCCTTTCTCCCTCCCTCCCTCCCTTCTTCCCCCCTCTCTCTCCCTCCCTCCCCCCTCTCTCCCTCCCTCTCTCTCTCCCTCCCTCCCTCTCTTTCCCTCCCTCCCTTTCTCCCTCCCTTTCTCCCTCCCTCCCTCCCTCCCTCTCTCCCTCCCTCCCCCTCTCTCCCTCCCTCTCTCTCTCCCTCCCTCCCTCTCTTTCCCTCCCTCCCTTTCTCCCTCCCTTTCTCCCTCCCTCCCTCCCTCCCTCCCTCCCTCCCTCCCTCCCTCCCTCCTCTCTCTCTCTCTCTCTCTCTCTCTCTCTCTCTCTCTCTCTCTCTCTCTCTCGGGAAGACCCTCCTTCCGTTTAGGACACCGTCATGTTTAGGTCTCCGTATGTTGTACTGTCTCTGTCTACTACTCCCCCCCATTTACTCCAAGCCTGTTTCTTTCATTGCACAGAGCAGATTAACCATGGACTTACTTAGCCCCAAGCACTGGAGCTTTGAACCAGCCCCTTGTTGATGTGGGCATGAGAGGATTGCAGGGTCTGGACTGGCCCGGGCAGGGCCTCGCCCTTGCTTCATACTCCGGCTCTCTGTCCTGCAGAGACGTTCTCCACAGCAGTGAGGATCCTGTCACCAGCTAGGGTTGTCCTTGGAGTTTACGTCTGCGTGTTTCCTTTCATCTGGTCTCACATCTGAAAACAGGGACACATAGAGGTGTCATCTAGCTTTACGTTCCCACTTTTACCTCTCCTGGGGGGACATCCAAGTACAGATGATGAGACCTGCCCAAGCTCACCTGAGCAGGAACAATTAGAGCCTGTCCCCATTCCTGCATAACCACTCTGTCGCCAAGTCCAGGTCTATTTTATGATGTCTGTGGTGGTTTGATTTAGAATGGCTCCATAGGCTCACATGCTTGAATGCCTGGGCCCCAGTTAATGGAACTGTTTGGGAAGGATTGGGAGGTGTGGCCTTATTGAAGTAGGTGTGGCCTTGCTGGAGGAGTGGGTTTGAGGTTTCAAAAGCCCTGGCAGGCAAAGTGTCTCTCTCTGCCTGCTGCCTGTGGATCAGGATGTAAAACACTCAGCAAGTCTCTAGCTCCATGCCTGCTGCCACACTTTCTGCCCTCTGAAACTGTAGCAAGCCCGCAAATAAATACTTTCTTTTATAAGCACTGCCTTGGCCATGGCCTTCACAGTAACAGAACAATAACTAAGACAGAAGTTGGTACCGGGAATGGGGTATTGCTGTGACTGGTCTGACCATGCTGTTTGTTGGAAAAATTGTAACAAGTCTTTCTCTGTCCCACCAGCCAGCTCCCATATAATGACCTGGAAACTTATTATTAATTATGAAAGCTTGGTCTTAGACTTGTCTTAACCAGTTCTTAAATTAATCCATATTTTTTAGTTTGTGTTCTGCCATGTGCCATTACTCTCTTCCGTCCTGTACTTTCTGTTTCTTCTCTGTGTATGGCTGGCAACTCTGCCTTTCTTCTTCCCAGAGTCCTCTCTGTCCCCAGAAGTCCCACCTAACCTCTTCCTGCCTAGCTATTGGCCATTCAGCTCTTCATTAAACCAGTCAGAAGGCTCCTTGACAAAGATACATCTTTATAGTGTAAACAAATATTTCCCAACATTTCCCCTTCTTTGTGTAAATAAAAGGAAAGGATTTAACTTTAGCACAGTAAAACTATATATAATAAGAACAATTATCAGGTAAGAATTACATTTACTATGTTCAGTCCATTTGTATTTGGCAAATTCAGAGAAAGTACTGTATTATCTATCCTATCTTGGTGAGTCTAAAGTTTTATATCTAAACCATTTTTATAGCTTGTATTACCATCTTAAAATGTCTTTTTGGATCTTAAGGCATCTTCTTTTTAGATAAGCAACTTAAGCTTTCATGTTTCTCAACCTTATACATTTTACATCTCTCATGTAAGTTTCTTTTCTGAATTTGATAATAAGGAAAGCTGTAACTGTAACTATCTGGTCTTCAGTTCCATTAAAGATCTGAGAAGAATCTGATATTACCTGAACAAACAGGAAGTGCAGAGTAGGCAACTTCCAAAACTATAGGGCAGTCACCCAAGGTTTCCCTGCAACATTGGGGCATCCATCTTTGGCCTACAGGCTTAGAATATCTGACAGACTTTTTTTGTGAAGCAGGAAATATTTGAAGGACTGTCTCACTTTGTTTTGGCAAATTCGGCAGTGACCTTCTTTTGTGTCCTGTTTGTCTAATTTGGACAACACATTGTCAGCATTCAAAACAAAGACAGTTTCTTGCCCAAATGGCTATCTTTGCCACACTTGAAAGCAAACTCCACATGGAGGTTTTTTTATGGCCATGATCCTTTTATGAAGTAAATTAGTGTTGCCAGCAGGAGATGTGTCTTAATGTCACAAAAAGTCTTTGCTTATTAAAACATTTTAATGCCATATTTTGTAGGTCTCTGAAGTATTTGAAGACCACCTATCTGTCTAAAGTATGTCTCTGTTGGACCTTGGAAACATAACTAACATAACTATAAGTTTGAGCATTATAGATTACTAACTACTAACCTGTTATCCTAAATATCTTTCAAGGACTACAACTTTACATTACATTTTTAAATGAGCTGCAGAGGTACAATACCTTAAATAAGAATAGAAACATATATACAGTATAACAAAAATAACCTTAAAATTACTTCCTGCTATCTGGGGGCAATGGCATCTTTAGGGGACCCTGAGAAAACTGGGATAATGGTCAAGTGTCCTGGGAGAGCTAGCTGTATTACTTTTTGTTTAGTCTCAGTGAAATGGGAAGTGTAGAGCTTATCTGAATCCTGGCTGGAGTAGTCTGTGAGGTTGGCCATCTCAGCCAGCAGCTTTGAAGTTGTCTGGATGCAGACTTTTGAGGAAACTGCAGCAGAGGCATCTGAGAGGCTGGATCTTCTGGGCTACTTGTCTTCATTGGTGTCTGGTTCCTTTATCCCCTGAAAACACATAAAGTTTTAATGGAAACCTAAGTATGGAATGTTCAGTGTACACAAGTCAGTTAAAAATGATTTTTTGTTTTATGTTTGAGCAGGTAAAAGACATGTGTCAACTTCATAAGTCTGTTTGGACCCCTATCCAGGCCATATGAAAGGATGGCACTCGATAATGAGTCACGAGGACGCTGTAGCCAGCAAGAGTTATCATGTCTCATCCACTCTCAGAGCTGGTCCCGTGTAGAGGGATCAGCACACACAGCACCTGTCTTGTAGTTTTTTTTCTTTCTTCATGTCTGTAGCCAAGATTTTCAGGAGGTCTCCCCCAATCAAATCTGATCCTCATTAATTTTGAAGAGAACCATAACTTTTTGTTTCCTACGGAAATAAAAGCTTACCCCCCCAAATGCAATGTATTTTCTGATTTCCACTTTAAAGTTAAGACATTCTTAAAATATACAGGTTGGCTTAATTTAGTAGTTTCCGTAATCTAAGGTCTCTCAGCAGCTGTTATTTTTTTTGTACATTAGATTTTAAAAATTTAAGCCGGGCGGTGGTGGTGCACGCCTTTAATCCCAGCACTCGGGAGGCAGAGGCAGGAGGATCTCTGTGAGTTCGAGGCCAGGCAGGACCGACAGCCTCCAAAACAATACAGAAAGACCCTGTCTCGTAAAAAATAATAAAAAAAAAGGATTTTAAAAATTTAAAGTCATCAAAGCCCCATAAAGGATCTATCAACACCCTGTGTATTTCCAATCTTTATGTGGCTCGTTCTTTTTATATTACTTTACTTTCTCTTTAAAGACCTCGTAACTTTAAAACTATTTTTTCTGTGACTGTCTACACCCTTAAAAACCTGTCTATTTAAGGTTCTCTTGGTCTGGACGGCTTTACTGTGTGCTCACAGCCTTCTCTGACTCAGGTGCTAGGCTGCAGCTAGGCCCCCTACCAGATGGCTCAGCGTAGCACATGGCCGGTAGCTGGCCCTACCCACTTTGGGTTGGTGAGAGGGGAACTTCATACCTGCTGGCCCCCGCCCGGAGCCGATTTATCTGTCCCAGCTCCTGCAGGCACGTCTATCTAATCTCCCGCTGCCACCACCAAGAAGTGCACTGGCCGCTGCTCATAAACCCTATTCCAGGCCCACTCAGCAGAACTCCGCCCCCCAGCTTTCTCAGGCCCTGTGTGGATTTGTATGCCTCACGTTGGGCACCAAATGTAAGGAGCTTTTCTCTGTCCCACCGGCAGGCTACCAAATCACAAGCCAGAGACTTCTTATACATTACGAAAGCTTGGCCTTTAGTTAGGCTTGTCCCCATGCGCTCTTACGACTTAAATTAACCCATATTTTTAAGTCTACACTCTGCCACGAGCGTTACCTCTCCGCCTGTTTCCTCTCTGTGTCTGGCTGGTGACTCTGTCTTTCTTCTTCCCAGAGTCCTCTCTGTTCCTAACCTCTTAACTGCCTAGCTTTGGCCATTCAGCTCTTTATTAAACCAATCAGGAGGCACCTTGGCAATGCTGTATCTTTACAGTGTAAACAAATATTCCACAACAAAAATATGGACGACTTTGGGACTTCGGCCTAGCACAGCAGTTGAATGCTTTAAGCAGGACTTAATGGGCTTCCTAGTGGGAATCCGATGACAGCAGTGCTGAGAGCAGTGTGGACGGACCATGGGGGCCCAGCTCAAGAGGTTTCAGAGGGGAGGAACATTAGTAAGTGGCCCAGACACTATTCTTGTGATATTTTGACTAAGAATGTGACTGCTTTCTGCCCTTGTCCAAAAACATCTACCTGAGGTCAAATTGAAGATTTTTGAACCAATGTCATCGGCAGGGGGGATTTCAAGACAGCTTCGTATTTTGTGTCACAAGGTTATTAGTGATCACACGTATGCATCTCTACAGTGAAAAAGTACGAGCAGGACAGAGAGAAATGCAAGAGGCACAGTTTGAGGAGAAAGGGAGCACCAGGAAATATAACATTGGATCTAAATTTTATGATTGCAGAGAAGTTCAAAGGGAAGCCTGACGATGAAAGGAATACATGGAGTGGTAACGTCAGGGCAAGACCCACTCAGTTAACCCTGCAACCCACAGAAGGAAAACCCCGGGCGCGGGGCCGAGGGGGGGAGTGTTTCCTCCACCTGGACACCAGCATGTGTTTAAGGATCATGGAGAAGATGCTTGTACATCCGTGTGTTCACAGGGCTCTTGAAATGTGTCCAGGATTCTCACGGAGGCTTCTGTTCTTGCTGTGTGTGGCCGGGTTTAAAGCCTTGGTCATTGAGTTTTTGAAAAAGTTCTGTTTGGTTATTATATTTGTCACTTTGCTACTGTGACAAAATTCCTTGTGCAGGGGCCATGCTAATCTTCTCTGTATTGTTCCAGGTTTCAGTATGTGCTGTGGAAGCGAGCACGACAAAATACCTGGCAAGACGGCTGTGGTGGTTTGAAAGAAAAATGTCCCCTCTAGGGCTGGAGAGATGGCTCAGCGGTCAAGAGCACTGACTGCTCTTCCAGAGGTCCTGAGTTCAAGTCCCAGCAACCACATGGTGGCTCACAACCATGCATAATGAGATCTGGTGCCCTCTTCTAGCCTGCAGACATACATGGGGGCAGGATGCTGTACTCATAATAAATAAATAAATATTAAAAAAGAAAAATGTCCCCAGTTGGTGGTATTGCTTAGGGAGATGGTGTGGCCTTGCTGGAGGAAGTGTGTCTCTTGGGATGGACTTTGGGGCTATCTGGGTTTGTTTTCCCCCCCAGTTTCCTATGTCCTCTCTGTGTTTGTGGCTGGGGTTGTGATTTCTCATCTTGCTGATCCTATTCCTATGTCTGATGCTTGCTGCCATGATTCTGCGTCATCATGGGCTCCCATCTTGCCCCTCTGGGGCCATAAGCCCCTCAAGACTCACTCTTCCTTAAGCTGCTTCTGGTCTCAGGGTTTTGTCGCGTCAACAGGAAAGTAACTGGCACGAACGGCTTATTTTGGTTTGCAGTTTGAGAAGGAGCACAGTCCATCATGACATGAAGGCACAGTGGTTGGAGCACTGACTCGCTTACGGTCACATGGTGTCCACAGGCAGGGAGTGTCAGCAGACAGTAGGGCCGGGCTGTAAAAACCCCAAGGTGTGCTGCCCCCCGGAGCCTCTTCTGGTTCTATTTTCTACAGCTTTTACAGCCCTTTAAAACAGCGCCCCCCACTGTCGACCAAGTGTTCAAACACATGAGCCCCTGAGGGACGCTTCACACGTAAACCACAGCAGTTATCATTCATATCTTCCCTTGTGGTTTGTTTCAAAAAAGGCAAGAGGTTAATCTAATCTCCTCCTCTACATTTGATTGTTTCTTGTGACTGGAGGCCATGAAAATTTTATCTCACCCTTAATAGCAATATTTAGTAAAGTATTTATGAAATCTACTGAATAATTTATTAAGTTATATCTTGACCTTAGTTGGAGACCACCAACTGATAGCTCTAGACCCAGGGTGGCACAGTTGACCCTGGTTAATCTTGGGGCGTCATAGAACAAGACAGGCGGATCTGAAAGGGAGAGAGGTATCTGTGGGGGAGGTAGCAAACGGAGGGGGTGGTAGGGAGGTGGGGGTTGTGAGAGCAGTCAGTATACAAGGTGTACACACGCAACATTGTAAAAATGCAATCTAAAAAGATATATGTCTTGAAGCTGGGTTGTTCTACGTTAATCTTATTTCCATGAACCCTTATATCCCCTTTGATTTATGGAATTTCTTCTAGATTGTAGTTTTGAATATTAGTTCTAGCTAAGCTTCTTCAGGGACTTCAAAAGCACGAATATCATTTCTCCTTTGTCTGGCTTCTATTTCTACTTCTTCTCTGGCCCCTTTCATTTCTCACACATGTTATTTTTTTTTTAAGTTCTTTTGACTCTTTTACTGCCTTTCTCTGACAGCCTTTATTAAAATTGCATGTGAGCTTATTCTGCACTAGCTATTTTCTGATTTGTTTTTCAGCTACAAGGTAACTTTGTATTTTTCTTCCATTTCTCTTCAGAGTTTCGTGAATTCTGTTCTTGTTCGGTACAGTTTTAAATCTCAGACTCAGGGTGTTTTCTTCATATTTTCAAATGGCTTTCTGGAAGAGTTGTTTATTTATTTTCATTTGAAGTGCTGCAATATATTTATCAGAAAGCTTTTAAACTATGTCCGCTGATTCATTTTCAGAAAAGACGGTTGTCATTTAAGGGGTGTGTGCAGAAGGGACTGCACCATTACCACGGGGTGCGCTTTGTTGACGAGCTACACGAGGTGGTGGCTGGGTTCTAGTTGTCGTTGCTGTGCTCACTGAAGAAACTCTCCGGCACTGGCGCCCCTGCCCTGTCAGGTGAGCCTCGTTTGTCTTACAGCGCGTGCACTTTAGCTTCCAGCCAGGCTCGGAACAGGCGCTCAGTGAACAGCCGGTGGGACTGAATGAAGAAATAGCCCTCCCTTGTTGAAGGGAGCTTTCAAACAACTGCTCACTGGGGGCTGCTCCTGTGTGTGTTCCAGCAAAAAGTCAGAGCGGTTTCATGTGCAAGGCTTGTCTTTTAAAGAGAGGGTCTCGCCGTGTAGCACAGGCTGCATTCGAGCCCCACAATCCTTCTCCCCCAGCCTCTGAAATCCTGGATGTTTATCACTCCGCTTAGACTTAAAAAACCCCAAGATATATTCAGTTATATTTGGAGTGTAGACTTGTAGTTTTTCTGCGTCATGCGTATTTTTCAAAGGTGGGAGGGCGAGTTTTCCTCACTTGATTTGTATAACATTTCCTTATTTTTTTCTTTCTTACATCAGTTCTCTGTGGGTTTATTTTTGCAGTGCTGGAGAATTTTACGGGATTTTGAATTAATGATGAAGCTTTCTGTCAGCCTGTCATTCTGCTGGTACTTGGACTTGGACGCGGTGTTTGTGTTTTGGAGGTGGGGTGGAGGTGGTACAGCTTTCCGGAGTTTCCTTTGTCCTGCAGGGTCCTACGTCTCCCTTCCTTACTTTTCCTTTCATCACTCAATTTTATTTCTCTTTTTACAGTAAGAATGACTTTTGCTTACTTACTCCTGTGTGTGTGGAGGCAGAGGTGGTGGTGTGCCACAGCACCTGTGTGGAGCTCAGAGAACAATTTGTGGGTGCTGGGACTAAAGGCGTGGGCCACCACTGCCCGGAGGACCTTCCTTCTTATTGTAGTTTTCTTCCCCAGAAGCCAAGTGTTTAGGGCATGCCCCCTTGTGTCATGGTTGCTCCTCAATGTCCATACTGGATTCTGAGGTGGGAGTTCCTTGAGATTCTTTGTTTTCAAATAACACTTAGGGCATAATTTTGTATAAAAATAACCACTTTGCTGTTTCTTTGAGTTCTGTGAGTTTCACCTTTTTTGTTGGTGTGTGTTGTGGTCTGGGGAATAAACCAGGGCCTCACAGGCACTAGGAAAAGCTCCATACTGAGCTGCAGCCCATCCATATCCGAGTTCTGCATCATTTGAAGAAGGGACCTTTGTGTCCTGTGGATGTGGTTTTAATGCCCTTATTTCATTTATGGAAGGACAACCAAACCACAAAGGGTCCAACGTACAGAAGACTTGAGCTTCGTGGAGCAGTGTGACCCAGATGCTGTGCATTTCACTTAATGGACATCACCATGGACCGGTGTGATCTGAACTGCTGTGTCCTGTACACCATGGACATCACCATGGACCAGTGTGACCTGACCTCTGTGTCCTGTACACCATGAACATCACCACAGACCGGTGTGACCTGACCTCTGTGTCCTGTACACCATGGACATCACCATGGACCGGTGTGACCTGACCTCTGTGTCCTGTACACCATGGACATCACCATGGACCGGTGTGACCTGACCTCTGTGTCCTGTTCACCATGAACATCACCATGGACCGGTGTGACCTGACCTCTGTGTCCTGCTCACCATGGACATCACCATGGACCAGTGTGACCTGACCTCTGTGTCCTGTATACCATGGACATCACCATGGACTGGTGTGATCTGAACTGCTGTGTCCTGTACACCATGGACATCACCATGGACCAGTGTGACCTGACCTCTGTGTCCTGTACACCATGAACATCACCACAGACCGGTGTGACCTGACCTCTGTGTCCTGCTCACCATGGACATCACCATGGACCAGTGTGACCTGACCTCTGTGTCCTGTACACCATGGACATCACCATGGACTGGTGTGATCTGACCGCTGTGTCCTATGCACCATGGACATCACCATGGACCGGTGTGGCCTGACCGCTGTGCACCATCCACAGCTGCTGCAGAAATGCATTTGCAAGAACATGCAGCATTTTCACAAAGACTTTCAAACTCAAGATCAATATAAATCTCAGTGAATGTCAAAAGTTTGGAACCAGGCATAGGGTCCACAACAAAAAAGTAGAAAGACCAGTAAGGTAAAACTTATAGAAAATCCCCCAAATTTGGAAATTCAGAAACTTAAAAAAAGATTTTAATTATTTTAAATTTAGGTGTGTTTGTGTGTGTGTGTGTGTGTGTGTGTGTGTATGTGTGTAGGTATGTATGTGTCTGTGTGTGGGTATGTATGTGTGTGTCTGTGTCTGTGTGTGGGTAGTACATATGTGTGTGTCTCTGTGTGTGTGGGGGTAGTGTGTGTGCGTGAGTGCATGCATGTGTGTGTGTGTCCACATGAGTTCAAGTGTCTGTGGATGTCAAAGGCATTGATCCCCTGGAGCTGGAGTTAAAGGTGGTTATAAGCTACCCAACATGGGTGCTGAGAATTGAGCTTGGGGTCCTCTGCAAGAGCAGCATGTGCTTTTAACTGATGAGTCATCTTTCCAGCCCTGAGAAACTCCTCTAAGAATCCATGAACTTAAAAAAAAACTGCAGACTAAGCTTCAGTAAAATGTCAACTCCCTTTTTTGTTGTTGTTTTGAAATAGGGTCTCACTCTACTGACCTGGAACCCACCTTGTAGCAGGGATGACTTCAAATTCACACTAATCCTCCTTCCTCAGCCTTCCTGAAAGCTGGGGCTACAGGCGTGTTCATGCCTGCTACTAAAAATGTCAGTTTTAATGAGAATGAAACCACAGTTGGGAATGACATGCTTGTTGCCCTCTTGAATGCATGTCGACTGTGACTACCTGCACAAGATGGCCTAAGATTAGGCCTGCCAACAGTCTGCCATCAGGTGTTGCTGGGATAAAGAGGGACATTTTCTTTAGTAAGGTAGCTGTAATGTGTAGTCTTTCCCCCTGCTGCCTGGCCCTGCCGAGCTGTTTGAGCCCCCAAATAACACACAAGACACTATATTAATAATGCTTGGTTTCTTGTTGGCTAGCTCTGACTTGATTATTAACCCATAATTACTAGTATATATCTTATAAGGACTTATATTTATGAAGACACACTCCTGC